CTTACTACTAGGCACAAGAAGCTACTAGTAACAAAGGGCATCGCTACTAGAAACAAGAAGCTACTAGAGGCCCCTGGCATTACTACTAGGAACAAGAAGCTACTAGTAACAAAGGGCATCGCTATTGGGAACAAGAAGCTACACTAGGGGCCCTGGCCTTACTACTAGGAACAAGAAGGGACTAGTAACAAAGGGCATGGCTACTAGGAGCAAGAAGCTACTAGGGGCCCCTGGCTAGGAACAAGAAGCTACCAGTAACAAAGGGCGTCGCTACTAGAAACAAGAAGCTACTAGGGGCCCCTGGCCTTACTACTAGGAGCTACTAGTAACAAAGGGCATCATCGCTGCTAGGAACAAGAAGCTAATAGGGGCACCTGGCCTTACTACTAGGAACAAGAAGCTACTAGTAACAAAGGGCATCGCTACTGGGAACAAAAAGCTACTAGGTGCCAGGGTAGAGGCCATCGCTAGTAGGTTGGAGGCCATCGCTCTGGAGGCCATTGTTCTTAGGTTGGAGGCCATCGCTCTAGGTTGGCGGCCAGCGTTCTTAGCCTTGAGGCCATGGCTGAAGACCATCCCTCTCAGGTTGGAGGCCATCGCTAGTGGGTGGAGGCCATCGCTAGTAGGCTGGCTGGTGCACCAGTTGTGCGCCTTGGGCTTCTCAGCCAAGTCCAGCTGCAAGGCGGCAGCATGGCCTTGATCACTCCTGGAAACGTGACCGTGCATTGTTGCTACATCAAAGGTCCTACATGTGCAGGATAAAAGCACATGCTCCGACCTGCTTCAGCGAACAAGAAAAATACACTATTCACCATTTTGTGCAAAGCAAGACTTTCTCGGCCCTGGATCTTTTGCTAAGGCTCATCTTCACCCATGTTTTCTTCACAATATCCAGGAGTTTTTCCTCGCCCATTGCATCCTGCAACGGAGCAGCTTCGCCAAAAAAATTGAAAATGCACTAAAAAGCTCTGTTGTTTGTACTAGCTCTTGCTAGATGTCTGCTCTGCCTGCCGGTGGAAGTAAAGAGCCAGAGAGGTAGCGTGACAATTCTGTGTCCAGATGAAGGAGTAACCAACCAACAACTCACCATATACATTCGTAAAACTATCCAGAAAAGGGAAAGGATCTCCATTCGCAACAACCTAAAGGTCCATTCACACATCTCCTCCCTTGGTCCCTTCTGTCACATTTCGTCTCTTCACCTTCTCCGGCTCCAGCACGTGCTTCTTGGAAAATGGAAACCAATAGAACTCCAAGAAGACCAAGCAAATCACATCTTCCAACAACTGGACCTCCTGCGATCGTCTCTGCCTTTTTCCTTTCCAACTTGAGTGCTACGTGATCACCCCCAAGGAGCATTACGGCATAGGAACCTGGAAGAACTTCAGGGGGGAAAGGGCTTCAAAAGCAAACATTTGAGAAAAAGAAAGGAAACACTTTGTCCTTTTTAGTAGCGATGCTCTTGTTACCAGCGATATGGCCCTCTCTCCTTGTCACCTTTGATATCTTGTTTGGTCAGAAGCTTGGTGACTCGAGAAGCCTCCTTGGTGCTGTAGCCCACCTCGCCAAAAAAGAGCGATCGGACGCTACTAGGGGCTCCTGGCATCGCTACTAGTAACAAGAAGCTACTAGGGGCTCCTGGCCTTACTACTAGGAGCAAGGACGCTACTAGGGGCTCCTGGCCTTACTACTAGGAGCAAGGACGCTACTAGGGGCTCCTGGCCTTACTACTAGGAGCAAGGACGCTACTAGAGGCTCTTTACGCTCTGTAGAGATGAAAGAAGTATATCTGAAGTGTGCTCCAGCAGCGAAACAAGCCTAGGTCGAACTGAATGTTCACTGCGCGCCCCCGAAACCTTCAACATCTCCTCCTTGGCGATTTCAGCATGCATCTTGCCCAAGTCCTGCCTGAGAGTTTGGCCGTGCTCTTGAAAAAACACACTTGTTCTGCACATCCTTCATTGAAATCCCCATGCTTTCAGAGACACAGTGTCCAAGGGTCTAAGGCTTTTAAAGAGGCTAAAAGTCATGAATCCAACATTGATGCCACATGCTTGTTTGCACAAAGGAGGTGTGCCCCCAAGAATGCCAAACGATTGCATACTAACAACCAGTGAGGATGAGAATTGTCAAAATACTTTGCATTTTGCCCATTTTGCGTGCCAAATGCTTGATATCCTCAAGACATCTTGTACAATCCAACTGCTTCACCGGTTTTGGAGCCGAAAAAGACACAACGCCTTGTCGTTTGCTTTTTTGGGTACCGTGCCAGTCCTCCACTGTCGATAGCCTGCGGTGCCCTCGGGATAGGCTTTGCGTTCCGAGACCCAGCGCTTCACGTGCTGCGCGCGCGCAGCGATCTGCACCACGTGCGAGGCCCAGGGCGCAAAACAGCGCAGCCGCCGAGACATGCGCTGCCCATACAGCCATTCCTGGAGTAACAAGGTTCGCTACTAGTAGCAAAGGGCATCGCTACTAGGAGCAAGGACGCTACTAGGGGCTCCTGGCCTTGCTACTAGGAGCAAATAGCTACTAGTAACAAGAAGCTACGAACGTAGCTCCTGGCATTACCACTGGCAAGAAGATACTAGGGTGGAGGCCATCGCTAGTAGGCTTCTAGGTTGTACCGGAAGGAGTTCAATACGGCGAGGAAATAACAAACGACGAAGTATGAGGAAAGCTTTCGAAGGGCATGAGTTCAGATGGGTTTCTTCAAATCAAGTCACGTCACTGTGATACAAGGTGAAACAAAACTATGACGGGGGTTCAAAAAAAGGAGCATGGAGTTTGCAAGAGTACGTGTGATTCTTGTCACGGTTTCAGAATAAAACATGTGAGTTCTCAATGACGATATTGTATTTGTACATCAGGGTTTGTTGTTCCATCATGTTCCGCTAAGACCGTCCGTGATACCTTGGAAAATGCTGTTTCAATGATGAGTGACTCTTTTTAGAGCTCCACTCTTGACTGATATCTTTCTGGTGCACGAGCTTCTGGATGTTGCCCGAACTTACCACGAAGCTCCTCAAACACTAGGTTGGAGGCCATCGCTACTAGTAACAAGGACGCTACTAGGGGCTCCTGGCATCGCTACTAGTAACAAGGACGCTACTAGGGGCTCCTGGCATCGCTACTAGTAACAAGGACGCTACTAGGGGCTCCTGGCATCGCTACTAGTAACAAGGACGCTACTAGGGGCTCCTGGCCTTACTACTAGGAACAAGAAGCTACTAGGGGCTCCCGGCATCGCTACTCGGAGCAAGGACGCTAGTAGGTTGGAGGCCATTGCTATCTTCGAACGGCGTAAGACGACATCGTTCCCCACGCCTTGGGCGCCGTGAGGCTCTGCTCTGCGCTCGCGAGCTTCAACTCTTCTTCCTGTAGCGCATCTGCCCGAGGATCTTTCAGGTTGATTTCATCGATCGCCGCCTGGGTGGAGCCCAAAAATCAACAATCAAAACAAATCAATCTCCACATTCATGTTTTCATATCCTTTCTTGCTCGTGTGATGTTCCTCTCTCTTTCTGACCACGAAACCTCCAGCTTGACAAAAAACGGTCTCGAGCTCCGATGCCCGGTCTCGTCGTCTCGTCGTCTCGTCGTCTCGTCGTCTCGTCCCGGCCCTAGTAGCGAACATTGCTCCTAGTAGCGATGCCCTTTGCTACTAGTAGCTTCTTGTTCCTAGTAGTAAGGCCAGGAGCCCCTAGTAGCTTCTTGTTACTACTAGTAAGGCACTTGTTACTAGAAGCGATGCACTTGTTCCTAGTAGTGTCCTTGCTCCTAGTAAGGCCAGGAGGCCAGCACCGCGTGAAGCTTCCGCTGTCTTCGGACGTACCACGCCGCCAGGCCGAGCACGGAGGCGGAGGTGGCCACCACCACCCCCAGCGCGAGTCCGCGGCGCTCGCTTTGCTTTTCCATGGCCGTTTGTTGGGAGCCCGGATTCGAAGAGACTTACACATCGACATCGGACATCGGCAAGATATGACCGAACTGCGGTCTCGAAGACGTCTCAAATATGTGTGCTTTGAAGGCGTAAGACAGGCACAAAAATGGCGTTGCGTTCGTCATGGGCAAACAAAGCAATGAAGGATACAAGGAGCAAATGCAAAATGAACCTGTCCTGCTCGGGTAGCTGAGAGAATCAAGCCTGCCACATGATCCAAGCCGCATTCCCACGTTCAATTCCAAGACAAAAGTCTTGCAAACTCACAAACAACATCTGAAATCTCTGATACATTTCACTGTGGAGAATTGCATGAGCACCGAAAGCCAGGGTCTCTTCAGCAGCACATGGAAAGAAATCTCCAATGTTTTACTCCTCTACAGAAAGCACGAGGGATTGAAGAAAATCTTCGATCATATTCAATGCACACGACTGGTCACACAAACATTGAAAAAGCATTCCTTCTACTGTGACCACTTCCTGTGACCGTGACGACTTAGTGACTCTTCGATGCACACCACACCTGTGGCCATCGCTGTTCGTGCACACGCTGAAAGAGCTCCAGCCCGATGAGAGCGATCGAGTCCTCGAAGTCCAAGAAACGACAGAAAGGGACAAACAAATTGAGAAACAATCGATCTCAATAAAATTCTGAATGTCCAAGTGTTTCTGAAGTTCTGCGAAACTTTGTGCAGTGCCACTACATGGCACAGGTCGGCACAGGTCCGTTCTCCTGCAACGGGTCTGATGGTGCTTTGACGGCAGTCCGTCTGATCCTGCGGACTGGGAAGAAGCGCGCGAAGCGCACGCATTTCCCTACTCACAGGCGTTTTGTATATAAAAGGACGCTACTAGGAACAAGTGCATCGCTTCTAGTAACAAGTGCCTTACTAGTAGTAACAAGGTTCGCTACTAAGAACAAAAGCGATGATTTTGATCTCGCTCAAAACAGGCCCAACGATTGGTGGATCACTTCGTGGGACTCCACGGCGACCGCTTCTAGGTCTCGAACCGCATCTTGTCGACTCAAAACTGGAGCGTCGATGGACCTCGTCCTCTTCGTTTTGTTTTCGCACGCGCCGGGGGGGGTAGGCCAGAGGTAGGGAGAGGTAGCTAGTAGGAACTGAGGTAGCTACCAACTGGACGGATAGCTCACGCTTCTCATTTGGTTCCTAGTTTTTATGAAACTTAACTAATAGCGATGCCCTTGTTACTAATGCGAAACTTGAGGGCTCGGTCATTTGGGTCACGTTTGAAACGTATTCGTTTCTGTTGGGTCATCCTGGAGGCTTCGCGTGCTGCGAGCCTGGCAGCAAGCTACCATTCCGCAACACCGTTTCAATCGGTTTCCATCAAACTAGTGTACCCTTTAAGAAAAAGAGCAAGGACGCTACTAGGGGCTGGCCTTACTACTAGGAGCAAGGACGCTGACAAAGGGCATCGCTACTAGGAGCAAGGACGCTACTAAGAGCGATGGCCTCCAACCTAAGAGAGTCTGCTGTCAGAACAAGTATGATGAAGGCAAGTTTGCTTGTCGATCAACAAATCAAACCACTCAACTATGTACCATCGCGACAAACAAAGCGGCGGTCAGCCTCTGGAAGGGGTCGCCAGGAAGGCACAAAAGCCATAGCGAAAAGCTAAGGGTTGCGGGTGCGTTTCAAAAACTCAAAACATTGCGGCTCAAAAATCACAACTCGCCGTGTGGTCGCTCGTGGCAGGTTTCGAAAAAAGTTGGACGGCTTTTCGGTTCGGCCAGGCACGGGGGTGTTAAGAGTTAATTTAAATTTAGTTTAATTCTAATAGCTTTTTGTTACTACTAGTAAGGCACCTGTTACTACTAGTGTGGCACTTGTTTCTAATAGCTTTTTGTTACTACTAGTAAGGCACTTGTTACTACTAGGCATTTGGTGTGAGGGTTTGACACAAGATCAACAAAAGGTTCAAACACATGTTGCCGATTGCAAACTAAGCTTTGTTCCAACTCATGTAGAAAAAGATCCAAGCAAACAAAATTGGGTCATTTAAAGTACAAATCAACCACAACTGAAAAGGCTAGTTTATGTTTGGTGGGTCGGTGAAGCAAAAACAACGATGTCTTTGACCGAACTTCGTCCACGTTCGAAGAGACCTCAACTAAACTGATTCGGCTCAGCTTCCTGTTGGACGGGTTCTTTTTGCGGCTTGGCTTGGACACCGCGCGGTGTCACCTACTTTAGAGGCCAAAAGTTTGCACCTCAGCAAAAATACGCAAACTCAACCTACTAGGGATGGCCTCCAACCTAGCTAGTAGCGATGGTCTCCAACATTGAACATCTCACTGTCTTCCCAACTGTCCTCCTAACATCATTTTCGTGGGCTTTGGTGGACCCTGCTGAAAAGCAAGACGTCTAAAAATCATGGCCTCTGCTTCTATCCGTCGAGATCACCTTCGAAACTCAACACCCCTCTTTGGCTGTCACTTCTGTTGCCAGGGCAAGAATCAGTTTTCAGATTCATGAGGAGTCATGATGAGTAGGAGGCCATCGCTAGGTTGGAGGCCATCGCTTCTGGATACCATCTTCATCAGGTTGGAGTAGTCTGGCTGCTTGCATCGTTACGTCTTGCATCGCACTTGCTTGGAGCGCTGAAGTGATGCAAAGCTCTAAGAGATCGACGTCAGCCACGGCCTGTGGGTCGTCCCAACGAAGGCCACATGTGACAGCGAGCTACTTTCGAAAGGAACTGCTTGCAAGTCAAAGATTGGCAACCCACTCCAGCAGTAGCATCGCTAGTAGGTTGGAGGCCATCGCTTCTAGATTGGAGGCCATAAGTCCGGACTTGCTTTGTTAGATGATTTCACTTCCGGCTGCCCATGTGGAAGAATGTCTGATTTCATTGGAAAAATGATCAAAACCCGTGGCGCCAGTGGGGTCTCCCTCTTCACACGCATCCACATGTGTCTTTGCTCCAAAACCTTTTCCCAGCACCCTTAGCTACTAGGAACAAGTGCATCGCTTCTAGTAACAAGTGCCTTACTAGTAGTAACAAAAAGCTATTAGAAACAA